TGCTATGCCACAGACATCAAGAAGAAATGTGCTGTGCATCTCCCGGAGCATACCAAATAAACCAAATATCGTGTTTGCTCTTTCAGATTACATGTGAGCATATTTTAGTCCAATGTTTAAATCAGTCTAACCTATGTACGTTGTGTCTTGTTTCTTCCTATATAGATATATATCAAATAGTAAAATTCTAAAAGAGACAAAACTACCGAGTGTTTTTATTCCATATTCTTCATCATCGTGACATCATATATGTCAGAATGTAGCAATGTACATTTTTGTAGCATCTGCCCTGAAAAACAGCATAAAGCAAAAAATCAGTATTGTATGATACGAAAAATGATTTAAATATTTTTTTTAACCATATTCACACCAGCAAATATCACATTAACAATTAATCGCTACATTTGTATTGTGAAAATTAAATAGTATATCACACATATCTGACAATAGTTGATTAATTGAGTGGTTCATACTGCTAAAACACAGTTACTAAAAACACAGTTACTAGTATCCATGGCTGAAAATAAAATTTACTGAGTGTATTTTGCAGCAAACAATGTATGTATGCTATTGAGTAATGTGAAACAAAGGATGCTGAAATAAAGGATGCTAACAAATTCCTCTTATAACTCCATAAATTTCTCTATGTTGGTTGACATTCAACTCATGACCAGTACGACAAATCACCAATTGTTTCCTAACACTGAATTGGCACAGACTCCAATTCACCATTATCACACAGTACTGTGTCACAGTCAGCAGTATCATATTCAACAACTGCAGTGCATACACATTTTATCACACCTGTAACAACTTTATTGTTATTCACTTTTCCCTTTCATAATATGCTTTCAACAAATAGCATGATACATTTTCACCTTGCCCTTCACATTCATTCTGTAATCCACTCCCTCCTTAATTACATATGGCCCCTGCCATTGCATCAACAACTTATTGTGATCAGCGAGAAATAACACTAACACTTGAGCCAATTTACATATCTCTTCAAGGCGAATTCACAAATCAAGGACATAATGGTATGTAGTTTCAACCTGGAATAGTTGTCTCCTTTGTCCACAACTTTTTTTTTAAATCATCATTGGACCCCTCACTGTTCTATCATAAATAAGATCGAAGGAGGAAGTTCTCAAAAGGCAAACAGTACTGAGTAAAGATAGCTATCTCAATCTTTGGGCCGTTTAATATACAGCACTCTACTCACTTCCTTCATAATGTCAGACACGAATTGTATGCCTAAATCAGTTAAAACTTCTTTGCGTACACTAACCCTACTATACTATATATAATCTAATACATCAGCAACCACCTCTGAAGTATTTCTTTAACGCTACAGCTTCAGGGTACCGTGAAGCATAGTCAACAACAGTTAACATGTATCTATCATTGCTCTCAGTCGCTGGACTGATCGGACCAATCAGATCCATAGCTATCATTTGAAATGGAATTTCAATCAAGAGCATATTGCCTAGTGGTCTCTTGCTTACTCGAGTGGTCTTCTGACAAATATCACATGACTGCAATACATATTAACATCATCCTGCATCCGGGCCAATAAAACTGAGCTATTATATCTGTAGTCTTCTTAGCACCCAGATGACACACAGCCTCTATCAACATGAGGTGACTCAAACTCCGTATACATTAAACACGTGTTCATCAAAAACCTTGTTGTCATGACCTGTGATCAACTCCTCACTTGTACTCACTAACTTTCTAGAACGCTTTAATGCTACTGCGCCACTCACACTGCATTCACAATACTAGTTTTCTTACCACATTTAGTATCAGCCATTTCTTCAAAGTTAGAAACATAAGCCTATGTAATGGCTTTTTCTCGGCCCTAGTCTGAACCACCTCTACAACATAAGAACTATCATCCTGACTAGAATCAATGGAGGATTCACAACTTATCCCACTAACTGAGGGCTCTCTTATCTCAACAACCTGGAGAACATCCTTCATCAATATCGGGCACACTAGCCAGACTACTAGTAGATGTACACCCTAGTTGATATACTCGGATGAGTACTATGCTTACCATCCGAGGGCGAGCTGACATCGCCATGCCCAAGCTCTTGAGCTAAACATAAAAGGGTATCTATATATCTACAAGGGCATTCCGACATATACCATCCATCATTACACAAGTACAACTCTCCCAGTCAATTGACTATCCTCCACCAACTCTCTATGTGATACGACCAAACTACATCCACTATCGCGAAGGACCTCTACCTCAGTACTGCCAATTAAGCATTGAACAGCAAGCATCCCACATGGACACATTTAAACTCAACTCTATCTCGTCCCTGTAAACATGGATGCCAACTTGCATCTGTAATTTCATGAACTACGCATGTAGCATTGATTTCATGCGAATCATTACTATTCCGGTCACATGTCAACATCGCAGCTTACTTAACCTGAGATTTGGAACTCACACAGAAAATACACACACACACGCACACAGAAAAATATCAAGTTAAAGCTCCTGGCTGTAATATCTTATTTAATATTTCATTTCAAGCACTATTGTCTTGTCTACCCCATTCTAGCAGTGAAATAACCCCCCGTCCAGTGTGAGTTCTGTGGGTGCCCCTCTCAAAAACAATAAGCATGAGAATATATGTGACAGATTGTATTACAGCCAAAACAAAGTCAGCTTGGATATTCAGTTGCGTGACATGACAAAAAAACGCAGCCAGTGATACATTTCGAAAATAAAAATATACAAAATAAATGCAATCAAAGGCGCCGACCACGCGCGTTGAAAATGAATCGAATACGTTGCGACACAGTCTCACTAGCCTCTTTCACTCACGCAATATAATTGTTTTATTTCCCACCGCAATTATATTTAATATATGGACAAAGTAAGGCTTGTAATTAACTCAATTTGAACGCAACATTGATCACTAATAAAAGTGGATAAACTCAAACCAGCCATCAAATTCAAAATATCTCGTTGAATGTCAATGTGCATGTTGGAAAGACTTTTAGTTTTCGACATTGTGTTTTGTTTTTTTGATTTTCGGAGGCTAATTTAATCTCCTCTCAAGGCTATCTTGAAGGACTATAAGAAATTGTCCCTTATCGAATCATATATATAAAATAATCCGGATTCAGCGTACCTAGTGTTTATAATAGTGTATATGGACGCATATTGGCTGTGGACTTGTCGAAAGAAACTTTTTTTGTTTTGCTAATTAACATGGGATTTTCCATGCAATCACGTCGAGGTTTCCCCCGACACGAATTCGTTTTTAACATTTTTCCATAACGCAGCAAACTTATGACTGGAGACGTAATCTTTATTGATAACTCACCAATTTACTATAATCGTGATGGTGAACTGTTTAGCTGATTTTTCAAAAGATCATATTCACTCCAAACATAGACATTAAACTGCATATTTCAAGGTCTATGCCCCAACTTATTCGAATATTTTTTCGGAAATTTTTGAGATTGTAGAAAATTCTGTACAGGAATATGTCTGATGACAACTAATAATACGCAATTCAGGCAGTACTAGAAATTATTGCTGATACTAATTACGTTTTTTTAATCAGAAAGTTGGATATTTTAACCTGTAGTAAACGAGCATAATAGTACTGTCTTTGTCTTATCCACGTAACCGCCACAGTCCGCTCCATTTATATATATTCACAGTGAGGCCGTTGCTTTTATGTCGTGTTAATACAAAAATGATTTAAACATGAATTTTTCATCGCCAACGTATTCAATATACGGAAATAGCGAGCGTGTGTGTGTGCGTTTGCGTGAGTAAAACAGGCAGGGGAGATTCCTTGTCACATGTTCTATTTGTTTCCAAAGCGCGTGGTCGGCGCCTTTGATTGCGTTCATTTTGTTGTTTTATTCTCGGGATGTATCACTGGCAGCGTTTGTTTTTCATGTCTCACAACTGAAAGTCCAAGCTGACTTTGTTTTGGATTCGTTCGTTAGTCTGATTTGTGAAAAAAATTATTTGCATTAGGGGTTTATGTGAAAAAGATCTGCATCAATGCATGATTTTTCATGAGTAGTTTGGCCATACTGCACTTAAGAAACGATGTATGACATGTTCAGTCCAGACATACCATATATTCAAACAGGCAATCTGTCAACATACAACTGAGATCAGGTTTCCAACTAGGATTTATTGAGTTGAAGAAGTATTAGTAGTTAAATGGTTACCATTTGAACATATTGAATTAGACCACAAAACAAATGCACGTGTGTATGTATTCAAAATGAAATTGTAATGTTGGCAGGAGGAGCTTGTCCATGATAAAAGTGTGGACAAACCCGCATTGGTAAAATTATAATACCAAGGTGTATATATTAATAAATATTTATAAAACTAATATATTATTATTTTGTTTATAGATATTCATTACAATAGAAAAGAGGATATCATCATCTACTTTGTAAAAATATGAACCACGTGTATCATATTTATGGCATAATTCGTTACTGTTACTGCAAATTATACAAATATTTTCTGCCATAATAGTTGAAAATAAAACGCATTTGAATAAATTAGGTAACAAAATGACCATACAACTTCAACGGAACTTCAGTGGTTATGTTAATATCAATTTCAACCCCAAATAATTAAAAAAATGTGATTAAATTCCATAAGTTGAAAGAGTGCACATTACTATAATGACATAAAAATGTCATTTCTATCCCCAAAATGAACCCCATATCATTTATGTTTGATGTATATTGTGTTTGAATTATACTCACAATTTTGAAAAATATATGAGACTTATTTGATAAGATAAGGTTTACTTATTTGCATATTAATTTCATGAGAAATTATTCCTGGCTTTATATTCGATATTGTAGCATATTTGTGTAGAAATGTATTCCGCAGTATGTCCACTTTTATGATTAGTATGATACAAAAATATGCAGAACATGATTAATTGCAAATACATAAACGTTACTCATTCGGTTATTATTTTTTATTGCAGATGTGTTTATTGAAAGACCTACTAATGTGTCGACTGCAGTCGGATCATACTTCAGTTTAAGATGCAGTGGGAGCAATTCAGCTCGCATATCATGGATGAAAGACAATAAATCGTATAAACAATCTAAATCATATGCAGATGGTAGATGGTTTCAATCAAGAAAGAAACATATCCTAGTAGTTAATGCGGAGTTTGAAGACAGTGGGATGTATACATGTAGATTATTACATAAAAGAACAAAGATTGGTGAAGTAAATGCATGGGTTGATGTACGGGAGAAGCCACGCCTTACTGAAGGTGAGTAATCAAACATCGTAAGACCAGTAGCGAGAGTTGAAAACAGAAGTGATATTTTGTTTGTGGTACAAGCGTTCACAAATTAAATAATGTTTATATTATATTATTTTATACTAAATTTTCTATGGAGCAATAACATCACTTAATCTGAACAAAGTATTATAGTATAAATATAAAGTATAAATAGTATCCAGTTTTCTCAGGTACACTTCAAAATTTAAAAAAAAATACAATTCTTATTGTTTTGACCCTGCTGTGGGAGAAATTTTGGCCTGAAAAAGCTGTTCACGGGGGGCACTCTTTGATAAAAGAATGAAAATGGTAAAAGTGATGAATAAATAAATGAATGAACGAATGATCGCTGGTTACAGTTTGGCTCAAAAGACGTTACGAACATGCATACTTGGGATAACAACATTCATGACCGTGTAACGTTGTATATATTAAACTCGTAGAGTGATTTTTATATGATATAAACCTTTGGCGATTAGTCATTAAACAGTACCAACAGTTATCACAACACCATGTGGTATCACAACTCAGTGCTAAACAAACAAATACATATAGTAATAAAATTATTATCAAATAAAACAAAAAATAAAAATCGTGCTAATGGGGGCTACACACACAATAACGGTATATCAGTGATATAGCAGAGCAGTAGGCTAAATTCGGTCGTAGGAACTCGGGTCGATAACAAAATATGCCACTCGGTGTTACATGTAAAGTTTATAAATAAATAAACGCTGCTCGGACTAATAAATATGATATATAGAAGATAATAATTGGTAATCGTAGTCCTAAACAACTATTAAAAATAGCTAGACGTTTCGAGCAAT